GGTCGACAACAAAGAGAGCTAATTGGGGACATCAGGATTGGATTGGAGGCAGCCTGGGCTGCAGTGACCATTCACTGCTGGAGTTCAGTCCTGAGGGATATGGGTAAAGCAAAGAGTAGTCAGGACTCTGAATTTTAGGGACAATAGGACCCCCTGGGAAACTGCCCTCAGGGACAAAGCAGCAGAACAGATTTTAAGGATGCTTTTCAAAGAGTGCAGGAGCTCTTGATCCCAAGCCACTGACAAGTGGTATCTCTCAGGGGTCTGTATTGGTACCTGTAATGTTTAAGACCTTTGTCAATGATGTAGACAGTGGACTCGAGAGCACCATCAGCAAGTTTGCAGATGACACCAAGCTGAGTGGTGCAGTTGGCACACCTGAGGGATGAAATGCCATCCAGAGGGACCTGGACAAGCTTGAGAACTGGGCCCATGGGAACCTCATGAAGTTCAACAAGGCCAAATGCAAAAGGTCCTGCACATGGGTTGAGGAAACTCCCAGTACCAATACAGGCTGTGGAATGAATGGATCAAGAACAGTCTTGACACAAAGGACTTGAGGATTAGAGCCTGGACATGACCTGGCAATATGAATTTACAGCCCACAAAGCCAACCACATCCTAAGTGACACCAAAAGCAGCGTGAGCAGCAGATCAAGGGAGGTGTCTGTCCCCCTCTGCTCTGCTCTCATAAGACCCCACCTTGAGTACTGTGTCCAGCGCTGGGGAATGACAACACAGACCTGTTAGAGCAGGTCCAGGGGTGAGCCTTGAAGATTATTAGAGGGATGAAGCACATCTCCACTGAAGGCAGGCTGAGAGCTGGGGCTGTTCAGCCTGGGAAAGAGAAGGCTCTGAGGAGATCCTATTGAGGTGTTTCAGTACTTGAAGAGGGTCTCCTGAAGGATCCTACAGGAAAGATGGAAAGAGACTATTTACAAGAGCTTGGAGTGACAGGACAAGGGGGATTAGCTTCAAACTGAAAGAGAATGGATTTAGATTAGTTATAAGGAAGAAGCTTTTCACAATGAGAGTGTTGGAACACCAGAACAGGTTGCCCAGAAAGGTGGTAGATGCCCCAAGCCTGGAAACATTCAGGGTCAGGCTCGATGGGGCTCTGAGCAACCTCATCTAGTGGAAGATGCTCATTGCAGGGAGGTTGGACCAGATGACCTTTACACATCCCTTCCAAACTAAATTATTCTAAGATTCTATGATCAGGATTATTTTTCCTATTTATGTCACTTTGCATTTATTAACAGTGGATTTCAGTCACTATTTAAAATACCCTGTCAGCTTTTATCTTCAGTATCTTGAGTAACTTTTTCCCAACAAACTCTGTTATGCCTCTGTTCACTCTGTATAGCACAGGAGCTTGTGCAGCATTTCGGTGCTTCACGGGGAATAACTTAGGAACTGCTGACACTATTTTCCATGTCAGAATTTCAGAATGAATAATTTATCAACTGCCCATATTTATTCTGGATTGAATGGATTTTACTTTTGTTCAGAATACACAAGCTGGTTTCAGAGAGCAGTATGGGCAAGGACTGTGAGCCAACCATAAACTACTGCCCTACTGACGTAAAACAACCAGTGAGAATCAACAGTATTGCAGCAAACACCAACACACAGGTTTTAGATGTCAGCAGCATTTGAAGTAGCACAGGTAAGTCAGTACAGGCAACACCCTCCACACACCTTTCCCATCTAGCCATTCTGCAGTGCAGCAGCTTCTGGCTGCAGCCGTGGAACACGGACTGGGAAACAAGTGGGAGGAGGCAGAGATCAGATGTACGACATGAGCATGAGGGAGAAAGATGACAGAGAAACTCATCAGAGAAGGAGCAATTTGTTTAAATCATCCCCTTTTTTCCATATTTTCACAGCTGTTCAGAAAGCCTAATAACAACACTGATGCTGCACACACTTTGGAACAGCTTGATTACAATGAAATTCAAAAGTGGTTCTTCAAAACCAAACCGTTGCTCAGCTGAGACAGAACTTGGGCAGTACAGCTGAGGAATGGCACGTGCTCATTATTACTGGTTGTCACTCTGTACTCAGCCCTAGAGAGGCCACACCTTGAGTACTGTGTACAGTTCTGGGCTCCTCAATTCAGGAAGGACATTGAGGTGCTGGAGCATGTTCAGAGAAGGGTGATGCAGCTGGTGAAGGGTCTAGAGAGTAAGTCTTATGAGGAGAGGCTGAGGGAGCTGGGGGTGTTCAGCCTGGAGAAAAGGAGGCTCAGGGGAAACCTTATCACTCTCTACAGCTATCTGAAAGGAGGTCGTAGCCAGGTGGGGTTCAGCCTCTTCTCCCAGGCAAATAGTGACAGGATAAGAGGAAAGGACCTCAAGATGTGCCAGGAGAGGTTCAGACTGGACATCAGGGAGAATTTCTTCACAGAAAGTGTGGTTCAGCATTAGATTAGTCTGCCTAGGGGGGTGGTGGAGTGTGGCACTTAGTGCTGTGGTCTAGTTGGCAGGGTGGTGTTCTGTCAAAGACTGGACTCATTGATCTTGGAGGTCTTTCCCAAACTTAATGATTCTGTGATCCCATGATACTGTTTCCTTTTTCCTCCCCACCACAAGCAAGTGTTCACACTTCTGCATGATGTGAACATCTACAACCTCACCACAATGTAGCTACTTGTTCCTTCTGCTCTCTCTGCCAGCTGCAGCTGCACCAGTCCTGGAACAGAGAGATAACTACACATCTCCTGTGCCCACACCACTTATCTAAGGGCACAGGATGCCATTATATTTTGCAGTGTACAAATCCTTAGAACTGACCTCTTCAGAGTCTGCAGATACATCTACACAACTCACAAGCTGCATCAAATATGTGTGCGTTGTGCTCCTCTTGGATTCTGAATCATGCCTGGGACAGCTTTCCTGGCTCATTGCTTCACTTCGCTACATATACATCATAGAATCAACCTGGTGGGAAGAGACCTCAAAGATCGAGTCCAACCCCACTGCCATTACTAGACCATGGCACTAAGTGCCACATCCAGTCTCACAGAATCATAGCATGTAGACAAGTCTTATAGACCATCTGCTGCATGCTGTGGCTTAGCATTAGGTACTGTTAGATTCCATTTCTGGCCATTTTACCTACGGACATTGCCCATTCACTGCCAGCTTTACTCATCTTACTCCCAGTTGACCTTCATGACTTCCCCTCCACCCCACAACCTCCCTGTGTGTCCCTGAGAAAGACACTTCAGTCAGGGACTACAGAACACAGCTTGAAATTCTGCCCTGCAACTCTTCTTCACCAGGGCAAAGCACTGCTGTGGCCATCACCCAGCTGGGGCGGCCCATGCTGTCCAACACTACCGAAGGCCACCTCACCAGTCGGTTCAGCTGGAAGCTCACACTCTGTGCTGCTCTGTGTCCCAGTGATCCCAGTTGGTTTGATCCTTCAGAGTCAGTCCTGTATCATGTCCCGAGGACAAGGCATGTAGCCATTTCACATGTCAAGTTTTCAAGCTGTCCCTTCTTACACATACACACAAGACTTGCCTCTCCCACGCTGGTAATTTCCAGTGATTGTTACCCTGATCATGAGCATTGAGTTCAAGAAACAAAAATTTAGGTACACTTGTATTTCCTGATAAATGAGGATTCAACAAAACTCATGAACCAGAGATACACAACAAAAATTATCTACAGGCATCATAACTTTTTATTTAAGTAAGCTGAGGATGTGTATTTGGCTCAAGACTTTTTACCCTTGGAATTTTTAAAGAGACTCACTGCAAATAATATAAAAAAATAGAAACTGTAAAATCAATCAATATTTTCAAAATTGTCACAGATTTTGAAAACACTTGTATAAATTCCGCAAACTTTGTGTACCCTTAAAGGGGCATCATTCAGTTACCATATATAATGATATTTGAAAATATTACTTTTTTACCCTAAAGCTTAAACACAGACATATTCATGATGGGTGTAATTTCAAGAGGGTATCAAAAGTGATAATGGTTAGAAAAATATACATACTTTTGCTTCTGGAAAAGAACAAATAATTTGAAATATTCATCAAATAAAATACTAGAAAAAGCCTCTCCATGGATTTTTTTCACAGTCCAAGATAAAATGCATGTTACACACAGCTTATGCAATCTGTCATTTTCAAGACAGACTCACAGTTTCACTAGTACAGAAGAACAAAATCTGTTACTGCTCTCCAGACTGTTGGCTGCTCCCATGCATGATTGTTTGGGCAAGCCAAAGGAGCAGAGCCACACGGCGAAGCACAAACCACTCACAAAGGCTAAAGGAAAATGCAGATGCACAAGAACAAAGGAAAGCACACTGATGGAAGAGAACATTGAGAGGAATAGTGACCAACAGGAACAGACACAAACTCTTCAGTGGCATGCAGTAATTCCTTCAGGAAAAATACCCCCATCATACTCCAAGTATTAAAAGGACACTTTCATGGTACTTCTGGTTAATTTTTAGAAGTAATATTAAAGATTACTGTCTATTGGAAATAGCCTGGACTGAATTTGTTGCAGTGGATAGAGTTTGTTGCTGTGCTTCAGTTCGTGGCAGTGTTAAACTTCAGTTGCACACACCAAACAGAACAAACCCAAACCCCTAAGGTTTTAAAAGGAAATGAGATTGAAAATTTCTTGCTAAAACGTGTTTTCAGTACCTGAGTGCACTGCAGTAGCCAACATAACTATGGTTTGATTACTACTTATTTCAATGAATTCTGGCATGAAGAATGGATTCAGATGAGCAACATGGCACTTGCACCAGTGACTGAACATACAGATATGGTGACACTTCAAGATCTGAGATCCTTTACAGTGTCCTTTCAAGTGTCAATGGACTTGTATCTTAGCTGCAACTGAAACAGAACAGAGGCAAATCCTAATGAAACAACCCAAATCAAGAATGTTACAATGTTTCACAGTAATAAAGAAACAGTCAATGGAACTAGTGAACAGAAAGAAGCATGAAGGATAATAGCAGCATGTGGTTTACAATTTTCACTTCTCAGTTTATTAGTATTAGTGGTGCACTCAGCAATGGATAAAGCAAGGAAGGAAATTCTGACAAAACTGGCAATTATCTACCACATGTCAACACTTAATTATGGTCCTTGTAAACAGCTAACTCCTTTTTGAACTTCAATTGCAAAGAAAAGAATATTTACATATAATATATATGTATATAACCACAAAACCTTAAATCCTTATCAAGGAAATTGCATTTTGAAGAGAAGGAAACATAATACAATATTAAATAGTACATGTCCAAAGATTTTGAAGGCATTGTGATTTTCATGTTTTCTTCCTCCAGTCATTTTCCCCTGGATTTTAATAGACTAAATACTTCATTTCAGAGTAAATAAGTGGAAATATTATAGAGCAGCTCCGGTAAAGAATAGCTCCACTACTGAAAACTGCTCGAGGAATGGTGATCCAGGACTCTGACTTAAAGCAGAAATAAACAGCATACAATGCCACAGCGAAGAAGTGGCCAATCAGTACCATTGGTTTAGGAGATAACCTGCAATAAAAATAAATGGATAAAACAGGTAAATAAACAGAATCAGAAAGCACTGACAAATTTTCATTTTGCAAACAGAGATCTCCACTCAGGACCACACACCCCTTCTGACTTAGGCAGCTCTGGTGCTGCACCTCAACTGCAAAATACAAACTTGGTTCCCTTGGAGTTGCTCCACACTCTATTCTCTTCTACAGCACAGCCAACACACACTGCTGCTCTCCCTTCATTCCCAGTACTCTATGTCTGCCTTTAGCACCCCCAGAGGAATATTCTCAATAGGCTCTCCAGTTTTAGCTCTCACTCCAAAAGAGAGAGAAATACAAATGCTCACATGTTCAGAGCAGTATGACTGACTGTGCATTCACTAGTTTCTGAGGGGTCATTGAAACACCTTTGTAGAGAACAATTTCCCTGTTCATTACAATCCTTTATGGCAGGCCTCACCCTTCACTACTCTCAACTTGTCAAGTACAAAATGGCTCCACCAGCTCCTCTGCTAGTCTGGACCCTCCTACCTTGTTCAGACTCCTTGTTCAAACACTAACTTCTCTCCAGCTTTTACTGGCATTTTTTACAAGGGAAAACAAAGTCAGTACTTAAAGACAGAGTTTCTAATAAAGCTTCAGCCTTTAGTATATTCTTAAAATAGTATGGGTGTGTGGTTTGGATTTGTGCTGAACACAGGGTTGATATTCTAGAGATGTTTTTGTCATTGCTGAGCAGAGCTTACACAGAGCCAAAGCCTCTGCTGCTTTTTGTACTGCCATGCTGGTAGGAGTTTGGGGTGTGTGGGAAGTTGAGAGGAGACACAGCTGAGACAGCTGACCCCAACTGGTCAAAGGAATATCCCATAGCATATGACATCATACTCAGTATATAAAACTAGGGGGAAGAAGAAAGAAGTGGTGGGAACATATTTGGAGTGATGGCATTTGTCTTCCCAAGTAAGCTGCTATGCATGATGGGGCCCTGCTCTCCTGGGGATGGCTGAGCACCTCCTGTCTGTGGGAAGCAGTGAATTAACTTCTTGCTTTGCTTGTGTGTGCAGCTTTTGCTTTCCATATTAAACTATCTCAACCTATGGGTTTTCTAGATTTTACCCTTACAATTCTCTCCCCGATCCTGCTGGTGAGGGAGTGAGCAGCTGTGTGGGGCTTGGCTGCTGCCTGGGACTAAACCATAACAAAACCATAGGCTTGTGTTGCCACTCTGTGCCCCTGTGCAGAGCTGCCTGAGGAGAGCAAAGCAAATCTCACAGGGGCTCACAGTGCTCAACCCTGTCCACACTAACTACTGCCAGCACAGTGAACTTACACAGAGAGCAATCCAACAGGGCCTGAGACACATTCTCCTCCAAGTCTGAAGTAATGGAAACAGGCTTTCTTTAGCTGATGCAAGGAATCTACAAAATGAATTAAAATGACTCAATAAGTGTATTCAACACATACCAAAAAAATTTTCTGCCTACACAACAGTGATATTAAATCCAGGACCTCAGTAGCTGTTGTTGTGTTCAACTCATCTGGATTTTGAGCGAGTTTTACTTAAGCAGAGGATAGTCTTACAGAATATCTACACATTTTTTGCACTAACTGACACAAGAACAAGAGCTTCCTCTCTTTTCTTTGTTTATGGATTTTTTCTTTGGTTTTGTTTTTTAAATACTAACTCCAGACTTGCCTTCACATTGCTAAAACTCAGCCTACATCACACTAGAGCTAAACAACAAGGCAGAGAACACAAGATAACTTATTAAACCCCTTTGATTTACATATTTATATATTTATCAATATACACACACATATACACTCATCTATACACACAAGCACATGGACATATGCTCATACACATTCCCTTTCCAGGCATGTTTATTTACCAAGTTGTAGTTAGTCAGAGGTTATCTTTAAAATGTATTTACCATCTGTGGCAGCAAAGAGTTCATAAAGTGCCTGGGCAAGAACATTCACTACAAAAGAATGAGATTTTTTCCTTGACCAGTAAAATGTTCTTTTCGCCTGAAAATGTAAAAAAACAAAAAACAAAACACAAATGTATTTCTCTCAGTAAATACACAAGAGCATTCAAAAGATTCCCAAAGAGGCTGCAAGAGTTATACTCATGGAAACACAGAGTGGATATAGTGATGTGCTAGATCACTTGCAAGCTAAGTCATGAGGAGTTTTGGAAACCCATTGAACCAGTTATCTAGGCTCCTCTTGCACTAAACAGAGGAGGAAAAAATAGTTCCAGAGTGTGCTTCATCTCAGCCTGTAGCAGGTTGCTAAGGCAGGTTGAAACTTGAAGGGTAACACTCACCTAGTTCTCTCTGTTGACTGACAGTAAGTAGGAAATCACTGGAAGTCTGAGGTGACTAGCTGAGACCTAAGTATCTGCACTTGGTCAGGTAAGTCCTGTACTGTCCTGACACTCAGGTCCCTCTAAGTGCTTCTCTATTTTCAAATACACTTTTCTGGATAATATACTTGTAGTCTATAATTACACTTGCTGTAATTTAGCCAAACCAATATGCCTAACCTGATTAAAAGCAGTAAACCAATAACCTTATTATTTACTCATCAGAATTTTGAGTCTAAATGTCACTGAAAAAATAAACCTCACATGAAAACTGCTGGTGCTGATTCCTGGGAAAAAAACAATGCCTTCTAACTAACTACTGGGAGATTAATGCATCAGGTAAGAGGCTAGTGGAGCACTGCGATGTGTCTTGGAAGACTCAGTAGACAAGCTCATTATGCTCTAACTTCATTCCACTTCTACATAAGTGTAATGGTCCTAATTCATCACACTTAGGATCAATCTGGTTACAAATACACTGCTAAAATGGGAATACCAGGTTATACCAGCAAAGCATTCTGATTGCACACAGCACATCAATCTCCTTCAGCAGAACAGCAGTCAGTAAGCACAGGTTTGAATCTGCCTTTTGCCACACAGCCACAGCACTCACACACCACAGCTCCACTCATCAGAGACTGAGGCTATGATTTTTCTGTGCAAAGCTTTGAAAACTGCTCTGCCTCAGCAGTAACTTACTTGTCCCTGAGATGCATAAAACCTAGAAGTGTGTCATTAAATTGTAGCAGAAGCTGTCTAAAGTAAGTACAGAATAAAGCATCACCTTAAGAACATCAGAATCTTCATAAAGGTCTGGAATATCCTGGAGCAAACTTCTCCATATTTTAATATCATTTAAAATAACACTCATCCCTCCACCAGTCAGAGGGTGCCTTATATTATATGCATCTCCTAAAAGAAGAACACCTAGGCAGAAGAGAAAAAACAATGGGATACTGCATGACCATTACATAATCTTAAAACTCAAACCTTCACTTCAAAAAAAAAAAAATTTCCAAAAAAAATCAAACTTAGTAAGAATTCATTCCCACTAGAAACTAAGATGAATAATAACTAGAAAGCAAAAAAAAAAAAAAAGAAAGGGAACAAACAAAAAATATGTTGTTCAATTATGAGGCTTAAAACAGCTTTAAGATGATCAAGGTAAAACTATTTTTTCCCTGTAGATACGCACGTGTGTGTGTTAAACACAAACATGCTTTATAAGTGTTAATTTCTTTACTTTTTTAATCAAGTTTTCTTAAAAAGACCACACTTATATAACCTTAAACAACTGAGTGAATTAAACTTAGAGGTAAAGCAGGCACTGATTTGAAGTCTGGTGCCAATATAAACACTCCAGTTAACCTGTGCCCATGGTACACATTTGAAAGTATTATCTTTCACAGAAGAGTTATGAGACTGTTGTAATGAACAACAAATATGCAACTATGACAACGAAATCCTGTGTCCCAGATGTTTGTAATGATGTTTTCCTTCCTGTTACTTCATAATACCAACCTTTCTTATTCACAGCTGAAGGAGGTAAGAAGCTGGCTGGCATAGTCCTTAAACGATCATTCTGAACTGCTATTAAGAATGGCTCCTTTAAGTGATCTGCAATAACCAAACATTTTAGTTACAGGACTTAGACAAAGTCTAATACATAATCATAGAATCACAGAATCAACCAG